GTATAGAATCTATGGCTTACGGGAAGAATACCAAATCAGTCCGGTTTCGATTCCGGCTTGAGGCAATCGGATGTCTAGTACACTGATGTGCTGTGAAATAGCGAAACAGTCTGTCTGTGGATGACAATATATACATATATATATATATATATATATATATATATATATATATATATATATATATATATATATATATATATATATATATATATATATATATATATATATATATATATATATATATATATATATATATATATATATATATATATATATATATATATATATATATATATATATATATATATATATATATATATAATATATATATATAATATATATAATATATATATATATATATATATATATATATATATAATATATATATATATATATATATATATATATAATATATGTGAATGAAAAGAGACATGAGGAAAAAAATTTCTTGCCGACGCGTTTTGTCCACTGAGGTCACATTGACTTGATAAAGTTCTTCAGGCATTTTTACTCTCTCGTAAATTATGGTAGTGATACGAAGATCGAGTTTTTGTTTGTGTTTGAAATGAAAGAGCGAGCTTTGTGATGGCGACCATCCCATTGATGTAATCTTCAAATCTTTAGATATGTTGAACTCTTCTACATCAGTTATGTAATAAATATATTTGGTACTCTATGTCAGTTTTATCAGCCAAGATACTTGCATTTATAATGAGTCCAATCATCATTAGACACCCTCTAGAAAAAAAAGAAAGGCGTCTATTGAAACTGACGCCATGAGGAGATGGATTAAGCTGGCTCCTCCATTGTTTCCGTATATATCTAAACTAATTCGAAACCTTAATTTTAGAGAGTGAAAAATTAAATGAAAAGTTCTGTAAACTTCCAAAGTATACATCTGAAATGAAAAAAAAATCTTACTTTAAGCCAAATGGTTGGAGTATATGGAAGAAAGAAAGCGTTGATTTAAATTGACTCTACAAGGATATGAGTCTATATTTCTGAGATGAGGTATTATGTACATTATTTACATTATTCGGACTATTGTCCCCATCTTTGTCGCCATACTTATTACAACGTTTCGGCCGTTGTACGCTCCGGCCTTCTTCAGGTGGTTGGAATTTCGAACTGAACTCATTATTTCGCTCACTGGGGTAGACTATTCTATCAGATCATCCCATAAGTTCTGTCCGAATTTTAACTTTTTGTTAAAATGAACGAAATTTAAAGAGTATTTTATAATGTCTAATGGAGCTGAACATTATTTTTATGCTTAGATGCATTAAAACTGATCAGATTTTATTTCAGAGAACAATAAAATTAAATTTTGTTCGATTAAAACCCTGCTAACATGGAAGTACCCAAGAATCATTTGAGGCACATAATGCTTTATGAGTTCATGAAAGGAAACTCAGCAGCCGAAGCGGCTAGAAACATTCACTCAGTTTATAGAGATGAATGTGTGAATGAAAGAACTTGCAGAAGATGGTTTGCAAAATTCAGAGGTGGAGATTTCACCCTTGAAGATGAAGATCGAACCGGACGTCCAGTTGAGTTTGATGAAAAGCTTCTTGAAGCAGCCCTTGAAGAAAATCCTGCTTTATCAGTTGAGGAATTGGCAATGGTTCTCAGTTCAAACAATACAACTGTTCATCGTCATCTTCAACAAATTGGGAAAGTTCCTAAACTTGGAAAATGGGTGCCTCATGAATTGTCTGAAAACAACCTCAAATCCCGAGTTGACATCTGCTCTTCTCTCCATTCTCGCCAATTTGTTTCACCTTTTTTGGATAGACATGTGACTGGCGACGAAACATGGGTCTTTTATCGAAATGTTAAGCGTCGTAGACACTGGCTTGGTAAAGGGGAAGGACCCCAGCCACAGCCTAGAAGGGAACTTCATGGGCAAAAGGTTCTTCTTTCAATCTGGTGGGATCGCCAAGAAATGATCCACTTTGAATTCTTACCACCTAATGCAACAATTAATGCTCAAATATACTGTCAGCAATTAGAGCGTTTGAACCTAGCTTTGAGGAAAAAAAGACCTGCTCTAGTGAATCAAAAAAGGGTGATGTTTCATCAGGACGATGCGCGACACCACACAGCAAGAATCACGTCACAAAAGATCGAAGAACTTGGTTGGGAGAAAATTCCTTATCCACCTTATTCTCCCGATCTTTCTGCTTCAGACTACCATTTGTTTCGTAGCTTACAGAATAATTTGGAAGAAACAGCTTTTGTAACACAGGAAGAGGTTAAAACTGACATTTGTGAGTTCTTCGAATCAAAGCCAACAGAATTTTACAGTAATGGAATTAGTAAGCTTGTTAATAGATGGAAGGAAGTCATAGATAATCAGCGAAAATACATTGTTGATTGAATCTGTAATTAAATGTAACATTTGGTCATTTGTTTTCTTTATTCAAAATTCGGACAGAACTTATGGGATGACCTGATAGTTCCACGCGCCATGTTTAATGGATGTCAGTTATCAGTTATCTCCTGTTAATTTTCCCTCTGAAAGTTCTCCACTGCCTTAACTGGGTATTGAACTCACACTCTTTGGGTTCTGTCACTGGATTTAACCAACACCTTCTACAACGGCCGAAACGTTGTAATAAATATGGCGATAAAGATGAGGACAATAGTCCGAATAATGTAACTAATGTACAAGGATATGAGTTTAAATATCACAACTTGGATGAGGATAATACACCGAAAAAAAAACAATTTTTCCCTTGGAAGAAAGAACATATACCGTAATTTTCCATGTATAATTCGCCTTCATCCATAATACGCACCCCTAAAATTGTGTTGAAAGAGTGAGAAAATGATTCTACACACGCATAATACGCACTCCTTGTTTGGTAAACAAACCCTATAAATTATACCTCTCCAACTTACGGACAGCGTCTCCTACTCTTGTTAAAAAAAATGTTTTAAACAGAATAATATTAGGTTGGTGCAAAAATAATGACGTAATAATGTCGTTTTTGACGTTACGTCAAAAAGCGACATTATTACGTCATTATTTTTGCACCAACCTAATATTATTCTGATTTAGTTTTATGATAATTCTTATTTCATTCTACATTTGTAAGTAGTGTTAGGTAGATATGATTGTATTTGACATCCTTATGGGGTCGCAGTCGCCGAATATTAGTGTCAAATTGTCGTATGCTGTGTAGTCACTTCGCAACTGAAATTGACCTATGAAATGACAATTTTTTTTAAAATTTGTAGCGGGCATAATACGCACCCACTAATTTTGCGTATTATTTATTTTAGAAAAATCCGTATTATACATGGGCAATTACGGTAGCTTTAATTATTTAGCTTCATAAGAGAAGACATCTTTAAAATCTTAGGAAACTATCGACTGAAAAAAAAGAAGACGAGAAACGGCAAGTAAAGTCGAACTTCTAATCAACTCATCAAACTGGCTTCATCCATAGACATTTAATCCTATCAGATTTTTTTCTTTTATTGTAAATTATTTGGCTGGCTTGGTTTTTCCTTTATGTGAAATACTAGCCTGCCAATCTCATCAAAAGTGATGGCAAGTATCTATAAATATAGATAACCAGAGCCTAACAGTTGATCTGTCTGCTGACTTAACTCTCACAGTCCAATGGAGGAAAGACTGGTTGTATAATCCAATACCTTCTAAACAATGATTATAACGTTTCATCCCCGACGAGCAGACCTTAAACTAACTCCAGTTCTGATGAATATGTGTCATTTCAATCAGGACGCGTTTATTCTCACTCCAGACCTCAAATGGAACTCGCACCGTAGCTAAAAATGTTGGGAAAATAGTTGGTTCCTAGAAACTATCTAGAAAGTATCTGGCCTCTGACTATGCTCTATCGTTACAAGAGTAAAATCAGAACCAAAATTAAGTATTGCAGCGTAGTCTTCATTACGGTGTTGAAAAGAATTTACGCCGCCTTGTCGGTGGTGAATCATTTTCCACTCTACAACCCCTTTCCTACGAACGAAACGTTGTTAGCCTCCTACTATTCTATCTCTATTTCCATAAGGCTCCTTAGTTCCACCATTTTAGACTTTGACACATAGCACACGCCATGCCCCGTAAACAGTCGACTAACCTTCTTTCCATTTGTATTCTATTCATAAAAAGGAAGTTTTACTCAGACATCTTCATCCTCAAAACTGTTACTCCCGAGATGATGCTTTCCCCCTATTTTAACCTCTTCAGATTTACCGTCAAACATCATCTATCCTACATATTCTTATAATATGCATTTGTTAATTCATCATTTTACGCTCTTACAAGAACCTCATTTAGCAGCCTTCGGGTGGCTCTCGAGCCTCACATTAAGGGAACAATAGTATAAAAAGTTAAGTACTTAGTATTAGTTTTTTTTTTAATTATTATTATTTTACTTTGTGCTTATAAGGAGTCAGTTTTTCATCTCGCTGTGACATTATCACGGCATCATATGTGGCGCGAATTGGAGTTTCGGCGATTACGGTCGATATTTTGCAATGGGCTGTACCATTTGGCTCACGGCATTAGCTTTCACAACTGTCCAATACACAAAATTCGCAATGTCTCTGTTTCTTACTGAAAGGCAAATCAACCGTCTTTACAGTAAGAGAAATGGGTTTCTTCCAATTAATAGCAGGGCACATATGGTTTTCATTGGTTACTTCATTGGCTACTGCAGAAAGGAATAAAGCCGACTACTTGTCAGTGACGGAGAGTGTGTAATGGTTGCGACAAACTCCCCAGCAAGAATAACACAGGAAACATTTTTGAACTCAGTTGGTGTCTGCTTTACCGCAACTGCCGCATTGACCTGACCTTGCACCAATCGATTATTACCTTTTTCGATCGCTGCAAAACGCTTTATGTGCTCAGAAGTTCCTCGAAGATTATTTTTTACATCAAAACTTGCGGAATTTTATCGAAGAACGACTTGATAAATAACCAGAGGTCATCGCAAATTATGGTGAATATATAATTGAAAGGC